TACCACATCCTGATGGTCCCAGTAATGCAATTAATTTTCCTGGTTTGACTGTACCAGATACACCTTTAACTAAAAATTTCCCCTGATCTGTTCTAACTCTTACATCACAAAATGTAATTTGTATCGGTTGAGTTTTATTTTGTGATAACAATTTAATTTTGTCTGATTCACCAAAAGTTCTTTGTATATCTAAATCAGCAAGTTTAAGTATTTTGTCTTTCCTTTCAACATTTTCATTTTTTATGTTTAATGTCTTGTCTGTCATTCTTTTTAAAAGACTCTCTTGCTTTTCAATATTTTAGTTCATTTTAGGGGAAATGACAATTTTTTTTATATAAAAAATAACAAATCACTTTTTTTAATTGTTATTGTTAAAATTTAATTAAAAACATGTTTAATAACATTGGTTAATGTTTTCATACCAACATCAAAAATATAGAACATTCTAAACTTTAAATTTTTACCCCTATAAATTCTATTAATAAATTAATAACAAATAATTTTTTTAAAAATAACTAACCTTTGATTAAGAATTTAACAAAAAAGATTATATTGAGTTATAACACTAACTACATTAAACTCAATAGTTTATTATTATCTAACACTTTAATTATTAATGTTTTATTAAAAAAGTTTTTTAATAAATTGATTTATTTTAAATTTATTAATATTAATAAACTAAAATTCGTTTCAAATTATAATTTTTTATTATTAAATTATACTTTTCTAATAAATTTCAATTTTCTATCAAAACATAGTTGTTTATTTAATATTTTTTTCTATTAAAAAAACTATAATTTTTGATTAAATTTTTGTGATCAAAATATTTATTAAAATACTGATTGCTTACTGTAAATTATAATTTATTTATTTTTTTAATCAATTACATAATTTGTTAATAAAAAAATAAATTATACTCTTAAATTTATTATTTAATATTGTTAAATTTTTATAATCAAAACTCAAATGTAATAAAAAAATATTTAAAAAAAATATTTTTATTAAAAATGATTAAAAAATTACCAGATCAATTAATAACAAAAATAACAGCAGGTGAAGTTATAACATCATATTATTCAGCAGTAAAAGAATTATTAGAAAATGCACTTGATGCTAACAGTACATCAATTACAATACAAATAGGTAAGAACACTCTCACACCAAATATTAGTATTAGAGATAATGGAACCGGAATAGACGAATCTGATTTAGAATTACTTTGTGCAAACAATTGTACCTCTAAATGCACAACCACAATAAAAAATGTACACACTTATGGATTCAGGGGTGAAGCATTACATGCCATATCACTAGCATGTCAACAAATTAAAGTTAATACAATTAAGAGTAATAATAATCTTGGATTTAGTTGTATTTATAAAGACGGTGTTTTAATTGAGAAAAAGTTAATTCAATTAAGCTTTAATCAAGGCACTGAAATAACAGTAGAGAATTTATTTCATAACAATTTTATAAGAAAAAGTGAATATTTAACTAAGAAGATGTATAACAAAGTAAATGATTTAATTAAAACATATACAGCTGTTAATTTAAATATTTCAATAAACAATTCACAATACAACAACCTTAATGAGTCAGTGTCAGATTTATTTAAATTAACAACATACCATCTTATAGATAAACCACAATACAAAGTAATTTATTCTCACTATAATATCAATACTTTTTATTTAACAGTAAATAATAGAAAAGTAAACAATAAAGAATTAAGAAAGTTACTATTCAAGAATCGAACCAATACATTCCTATTTATATCATTATATTCAAACGAGATAGATTTTAATATTCATCCATCAAAAGATGAAGTTTTAATAGAAAATAAAGAAGTTTATGAAAGTATAATTAATGAAGTAAATAATTATTTAAATTTAAATGTAATAACATCAAATTCTATAGAAACTAATAGTTTAAATTTAACAAATAAAGATAAAATTAAACCTTTTAATAAGCAATATAGTTCATCTTTTATTAAACAATTAAAATTAAGTAATTCTTTTAAAGATGATGATTTAATAGAAAATGAGTTAACTGAAAATGAGTTAACTGAAAATGAGTTAACTGAAAATAATTTAACTGAAAAAAAGTTTATAGAAAATGATTTGATAGAAAAAAAATTAATAGAAAATGATTTAACAACTAATGAGTTAATAGAAAAAACGTTAACTAAAAATAATTTAATAGAAAATAATTTAATAGAAAAAACGTTATCAACTAATAATTTAATAGAAAAAAAGTATAAATTAAAATGTAAATTAAAAGAATTAATTTATATAGGAACATATAAATTAAATAATGAAACATATTCAATATGTGAATTAAATAATTCATTAATAGAATGTTATCCAATAAATAATTTAGATAAGAAATTAATAGAAATCAAAAGTAATATGAATAGTGAATTTAAAGATCAAATAATCTATTATAGAATAATAATTAATATGAAAGAAGTTTATAAAAAATTTAAAAGGATTTAAATAAAATAAATTAAATAAAAGTTTTATTAGAATGAAAGAATTATTAAAATTATTAGAGAATGAAATTCATAAAACAAACAGTAATGAATATGATAAATTTATAAGTAAGTTAACAGAGATTATAAGAGAGGAGATTAGCAAATACCAAAAGATAAATGAAGGTATTATTAAAGATATCGATATAAAGAAAGAAGAGTTAGAGAAATTAAGAATAGAGATAGGTGAGTTAGACAGTAAAGAGATAGAAGATGATAATTTACTAGTAAAACTAAATAAATATATAGAAGAAAGAGATAGTTTAATTTCTATGAAAAATGAATTAAAAACTAAGATAGATAATTTAAGAATCGAGTGTGAAAAGTACCGGAAGTTACTAGAATTAGATGAAGATGAAAGTTTAGAAGAAAACAATCTAATTGGAGTACAAAGATACTATGAATATAAAATAAAAGAGTATGTTAAATTAGTTGAGAAAAGAGAAGAATTAAGGGATGATTATATAAAAGAAATTGATGAAATTTCCTCACAACTCAAAATAAAAACTGAAACAGATAAATCAATATTTGAACTAAAAGAAACTTTAGATCATTTAAATCAAAAATTAAATAAAAATAAACAAACACATAAAGAACTAATAAAAGATATAAAAGAAAGGGAATCAGTTTTAATTTCATTTAATTTAATTGAAAGTATAATTTTTGATGAAATTTTTACAGATAAGTATATTTTAATGTTAAAAGAATACAAAGAAAAATTATTAGAAATAGAAAATGATAATATTGAACGTATTTTTAATAAATATCATAATGAGCTAGTTAGTTTAAGAGAAATATTTCAATTAAATACAGGTGAGTCTTCAGATAAGAATTTACAGAAAGTTATTGAAGAAATAAAAAATTTAAAGTGTAGAAAGGATGATTTTTTAGAAATTAAGACTTTTATTGATGAGAGAGTTGATTTATTAAAATCAATGGAAGAGTTTGAAAAATTAGCAAGTGATCCGAAAAGATTGTTTAAATCTTCTTTTCAACTTAATAAAGAAGAGAAATTTAGAAAAACTGCTTATCCTAACCTCATCAAATTAGAAGAGTCTATTTTTAACAAAATTGAAAATTATGAAAGAAAACATGGAAAGTTTATTTTTAATAGAATTGAATATAAAGATTTCTTAAAGAGAGAAATTGAAAACAGAGGGTTGTTAATAACATTTGATACTCCACAGAGAAAGAAATTGAAAAATTTAAAATAAAACTTTTTATTTGATTTGTTTTAGTTTTAAATATTTAAAATGAAAGTTATGTTTTGAATCAAAATGAGATTATTAATTTTTAAGTTAATCAGTTGTGTGTTTTTTACAACAGAAAAAGGATTCTTAACAATAAATGATCGTGGTATTCTCACTGTTGATTCAAATGAAAAAAATGCAGGAAATTTTGAATTTATTCATCTAAATAGAGATCAATCAACTTCTTTTAAACTAAAATTTGGTAAAAATTTTATTGTGAAAAAGAAAGGAAAAAATAACTATTTTTATTTAAGCTCAGATAGTGGAAAAAATGATTTTTTTACTATGAAATTAGTTCCAACAAACAGTGGTAATAAATTCCATATCAATCATAATGGTGAGTGTTTAAGTTTATTAAAGAATGGTTATAATCAAACTGTTACTAGGAATGATTGTGGTGATGATAATGTATTGTTGTTTAATTATCATAAAGTAATTGGACATGAACCTCAAATTATTAGTTAATAAATTTATTTATTTTTTGTTTTATATCCGTTTTGGGATTAAATTAAAATAATGTTTTTGTTTGACTTTATGTTAAAATTTATGATTACAATTATTGTGAATATCGTTCGTTGTATAAAGTTCCAGGAAATTAACACTGGTATGTTTATTGCACTTGATAACAGTAAAGAACCTAAACTTATTCTTAAAAATAAACTAAATGAGGGGGCAAATTTCATTATTAAAAGCGGGTTGGAAAACAATAGTGAATATGTCAATCTCACATTTGGTAAAAATACAACTACTTATAAAAATTCTGATGGAACTTTTGTTAAAAATTCTGAAAAAAATTCAAGAAATCAGTATTTTCAAATTGAAATTCTTAAAGACAACATTGTTAAAATTAGATATTTAAATTATTGTTTTGGTGTTAAAAAGGAAGATTCTAATATTCTTACTAGGGTTGAATGTAATGAAAAACAGGCTAAGGTTTTTAGGATGTTAGATCAGCAGGGTAAGCCATTACAATTAACTCAAAGTAGTAAAGTGATAGTCGGAAATTCTTCTAATAAAACCGTCTTTGTAAAAAATTCTGGAAATACTTTAGAAGATGACTATTTCCATTTACAGTAAATAAAATAATTTTATTTTTTATTAATTTAAAAACTTGATGATGAGGATGAAGAAGAGGAGGATGATATACCTATTTTCTTTAGTTGTTTACGATATGACGTGGGATTACAAGGTTGTGAATTCATAAAATTCATACTACTCATACTATCACTACTTGAATCATAACTTTTCATTTTTGAATAAAAATCACTACTATTACTATAATCAAAATAAGAGTTGTCGTTATAAGAATCATATGGGTTGTTATTATAATTATTATTGTAATTATTGTATGGATTGTTATTATAATTATTTTGATTTATCACATAAAATAAATTATCACTTCTATTACAATAATTTGATAGCACAAATCGTATTTTTCTTCCATATCGTCTTAATTTAACACATTTATCATTTTTTGTCATTAATTTTACAGGTCCTCCATCTTCATTTGATAAAACTACGTAAATATTTAAAGATTTTTTTAAAAACCCTTTTCTTTTTGCATTTAACTTTCCATCTCTTATTTCAATGGGTTTTCCATTTGCTAATAATTTATAACTTCCATCTGAATTTTTTTCTACACTAAACTTTGTGTATCTGTTTCTACTTGTAGTTAATATACCTCTTTCAAGATGTAAAAAATTATTTCTTCCGGATTTTAATAAAAATATATCTTCAATACTGGTAGTTATGATTAGTTTTAATAGAAAATTAAATACCTTCATATGATTTGTAAACATTTTAAAACTATTTTGTTTTAATCTTCAAACATTATTTCAAAAATAAAAATATCAAATATTTCTAAAATTTTGTTAATTATACTTAGATTATAATTAATAATTTTTTTATTTAATTTTTTAAACAGATTTATCTTATTTCATTTGTTTTTTTGTAAATCATTGTTTTTAATCGTTATAAAATATTTTTCATAAAGTGAAATTTTACTAAAAGTTTTCAACAGTTTTTATAAAATCTTATTTTGTTTTTATTATTAAAAAGTTTTAACAACTTATTTCAAAATTAAAAATAAGATTTTAGATGATTTAAAAATAAAAAATCTATCTTAGTTAAAAAAAATCTTTTTGGTATTTTTTAAATTAAAATTAAAAATTTTTTAATAAAAAAGTATAATTTTCTTTCTTAAAAGGTTTACTTTTTCATTAAATATTTCTGTTAATAAAATTTTTATCACTGATGAAACAATTATGAAACATAAAAATCAATAAAATGTAAAAGTAAACAATATCAAATAATATGGAAAGCAACAATTATAAGTCTTTATTAGGAAAACTTGTAAAAACTGATTATACATTTTTAAGTTTATTAGATCAAATATATTCAAACCCAGCAGAAATACTAAATCTATTAAGTTCAAAAGATGTATCAGCCAATGATTTAAGACAGTTCAATGAAGTGGTAAAACAAATAACAATATTTTATCCTAATGATGTTAATTTAAGAGAAAATATTTTAGAATGTCTTGCAAAAATTTTAATTTTTAATCCCGGTGCCAGATTTTTCTTACTGCTTAATTGTGATGATTTGAAAGATGTAGTTATTAATAATTTAGATATAAATGGAAAAGATAGAATTAACTTATTGGCATACTTTGTACATAAATTAATTAATACTGAAACAAGATTACCTTATGGTTATGATTGTGATATGTATTATGCAATTGATTGTTATGTTAATATTTATAATGTCATTCCTGATGAAAGGATACTTAAATGGGCTAAATGTACAAATAAGAGTGAATTGAGGTATTTAACACCCCAAGTGTCTATAGAGAACTTGTTTTATAACGAGATATATTATGTTGCTCAGATTGATATTTTAAAAGAATTAATAGATCATTTAGGAAATTTAGAATACGTAATGGTTAAAATTCAACTACTTAAAGCTAAAATGAGTGAGGAAAATATAGCAACGATGGTTATTAAGATTATGAATGAAAATGATTATGAAATTGATAATTTAATAGAAATTCTCAAAGTCATGGATTCATTTAAATTTTTCCATTTGATAACCAAATATGGAAGGTTAAAACCAGAGATCATTTATAAACTCTCTGAATATTTTTATAACAATTTCCACACTATTGACATAGTATACATAGATTGTTTATTAGTTTACTTTGAAAACATCAACTTAATAACCACTCCAGATTTAAAGTTACTTTTAAAATCATCATTACTTCCATATGTTGTTTGTAACTATTCAAGATTTGAAATACTATTTAAAATATTAATTGAGAGAGGATTAACAGAATATAGTTTTAATTTACTGTTGGATTTGAATTCAAATGATAAGTTGTTGATAAAGAAAATTACACATTTAATAGAATTACCAGCAACTACCAAAACTAACAATCACATACTCACTAAACTATTAAAGATTAAGATGAGATATGATTATTATGATCCTAAGGATTTATTAAAGATAATATTTTATTTCCAAAACAAGAAATTACTAAAAAAATTTATAAATGATAATGGAGTGATGTTATTAATGATAGATCATTTTAAAGAAAATGATACAATGAATGAATTTAATAGAATTTGTATTAAATCCCTTATAAAATTAGGTATTCAATTAGATTCATTTAAGTTTGTAAAGAACACAACATCAAATTACAATAAGTGTGTTAAAGAATCATTAAGTACTAAAGACACAACCTTAAATGAAGGAATATATTTAAATGAACACACTGGAATGATCAACATAAAAGACATTGAAAGTAAAACTTTTACTTTAGAGTTCAAAGTAGAAAGTTTTGATAGTTCGGAAACTAAAATATGTAAAATTAGTAATAAAACAGACAACATAACAATCAGTAATGAGGGATGTAAATCCTATAAAATAATTTACAAAAACAACCAATTGAAAATATTTTCAGACCATAATTTACTAGAAAAAGTAAAATTTAAGAATATTAAAAATATTTCCATAACAGGAAACATCTACTTAAAGTATTTAGTTTATTATGAAACGAATATAAAATTAAACGTACCCAAATCAGAAAAGGATTTATACGTTGATTACATATATGAGTTAAAAAAGGTACTCAGATATAGACAAATCTATGGAGTACTAATGAACCATCTAGGAACCTTTAAATTTATTAAGGAAAGTAAAAGAAATGAAGATAAAATAGAAACAAAAGATATACTTTTTTATAAATAAAATCTATTAATAAGTTTATTTATTGTACATTCCTTGAATTATATAATAAAAGAATTTGTGAATTTCAGTGTTTTCAAATTGAATGTCATCAACAAATCTTTGAGGAAGAATACAATTTTCATTCTTATAGAGTTTGTATTGATAAGAATTGTTAATTTCTTTTAAACCAAAACTGAGATATTTTTTTAAGTTGTTACTTTCCCTTTCTATTGTAACAAAATATTCGTTATTATCGTTATTAATTGTGATGCCTAATAACTTCTGATAAATATATATTACATTGTTTAATGATCTTAATTCATCATTTTCTTTTCTTAATTGTTTAATTAAATCATTCTCATTAAAATCAAAATTATTATCTCCTTTTTTTATTTCTTTATCAATTTTTTTGTTAACTCTTTTATTTAATAATTTTTCATCAACTTCTTTAAAATTCTTATTTAAATTGAGAAATTCATCATTTGAATTATTTGAAACATTAACAATACTCTTTTGTGATTTTAATGGTGTTTTATTAACTTTTTTTGGGGTTTTAAAAACGAGTGTCTTTCTCTTTGCCATTAAGAAGGGAATAAAAATTTTAATAAGAAAAATAAATAAAAGAAGACTTTGTTTATTCTTCTTCACTTTGATCTTTGATCATCTGTTTATGTCTCGTGATCATTGTGAACCAATAATTTCTATCCTCTTCAATATCAAATCCTAAGATTATTCCATTGGATAGTAAAAGTCTATAAGGGTGACTTGCGTTATACGAAATCCCTTTTTCTGCTTCACAGTCTAATGTATTCCAGTCTCCTTTAGCTGGTCTACTTCCATCACATTTGTGATATACCAACTTTCCTGTTCTAAGTAATACGAAGTATTTCTGATGCCACAAACAACAACATATTGGTCTTTTCTTGAAGGCAAATCCTTCACATATTATCATGTCTTTCTCTCTATATTTTAATACTTCGGAATCTTCTACTGGATATAATAATGTTGTTGGGACATATGAATTTACTTCTACTACTTCATCATTTTCTGCAAATGATACTGATTTACTATTTCCTCCTTTGGAATTTAATGATTCTTTAGACTTACTTCCTTCTTTGGAATTTAATGATTCCTTAGACTTACTTCCTTCTTTGGAATTTAATGATTCCTTAGAATTATTTAATGAATTTTCTTTTGATGGTTGTTTATTTATTACCCTACCCATCAAATTCTTTTTATTTACTGAATTATTATCACTCATATTAGAATTATTATCACTTAAATTAGAATTATTATCACTCATGTTATTATTACTTGTTTTAGAATCATTCAATTTAGAATTTGATCCATTAACACTCATATTAGAATCATTTAATTTAGAATCAGATTGCTTTCCTTCAATTGAATTTGATCCATGTACTCCTTTAGTTGATGAAACTATTGATTCTTCCTCACTTTGAACTGTCATTACTGAATTTCTTTTTTTATCTGATTCATCCTTATCAGAATTATTCATCCCAACAAAATCTTTTACTTTCTCTTTTCCTTCTTCTATTTTATCATCATCTAATGCATCTTCAATTTTCTTTTTTATACTGCTTTCTTCGTTATTTTCAGATGCCATTTATAAGGGGTAAGTTAAATAATTTTTTTTAAATATTTTTAAAGGGGAAACTTATTTACAAAAATTTAATCATTTGAATTTCTCTCCTCCAAATATATTTGTAAAAGAATTGCCGGGTTTATATAAAACGTCTTGTTTTCTACCTCTTTTTTTGATCTCTTTAAAAATGCTCGTGAGTTTTGAAAGTAAATTTGGATGATCCTTGGATTTAAATTTAATAAGAGTGCATGATTTTCTTTTAATGCGTTATTTGGTGTTTGTACTATTTTAAAAACTCTTTCTAGCACTCTCTTCTGAAGATAACTCTTTTTTGTATATTTTGGTCTTTCTTTATCTCCGTTCTTAAGACTCTTTAACTTTAATAATCCTAATAGAGCTTCAGCATATAAAATTGATTTTGGGTCTTTATCATCAAACATATGCAATTTGAATGAGTTTCACAATATTTTAAAATTCGCATGATTTGTTTCTTTTTATATACAAATAAATAAAAAAATTTCATTTTTAATTAAACAGATTTTTTAAGAAAGAAAAGTATTGATTTAACATAGAAAGTTATAGTTTTTAAATAAAGATTAATTAACAATTTTATTTACTTAAAAAGAAGAAACAACTTTTTTTGTTTTTTTGTTATCCTCGTAAATTTTTTTAGAAAGAGTGTTAAATAAAACACAACAACAATCAGAAGTATTAACAAACTCAATAAAATCAATGATAAAATTAACAAAATCAGTTATCATTTTACAATCATTATCATTCGCAAATTTAATCTGATTCAATTCAGTTTTACACGTCATAACTAAATCAAGAATTTCATTATTCTTGTAAATTTTTTGAGCATCATTAGGAATTGTAATATCTTCATCATCTAAGTTTAATGAATTATACACTTCAAATAAATACATAACTTTACTAACAAATAAATCAATTATCTTAGAAATGTGAGTTTCTTTATCAACAATATGAGTTTCTTTATCAAAAATATGTGTGTTTCCACAAATATTATAAAGCTTTTCACCGGCAGAAGATTCGTAATCTCTAATTTTAGCATGAATTGTTAATTTTAACATATCACTTGTAATAATTTCTCCCTTTGCATTATTTCTAATAAGATCAACTAATGGCATTATGTGATCATATGATTCATAGAACATTTTAGCAAATTTATTGTTTCTAAATATTGTTAGAATCTTTTTTATAGGACTATAAGGAAAAACGGTTTTAACATAAAGATCATTCAATGCCTCAAGATACATTATTACATCACGATCATTATTTTGTTGTTTAAATAGCTCCCTAATTATCAGTCTCAAATAGTCAATGGTTTTATCTTGTAATTTCTTATAAAAAATTCTAAATGATTCTCTGAATGGATCTTTTTCAAATTCTTCATTGTTATCAACATTTTCATATTTTTCAATAATCATTTTAAGATCATTCTTTTTATCTTCAAATGTAGATAAACATCTTAAAATTTTTTTAAAATCTTCAAACATTTCCAATTGTATGTTATATCTCTTGTTAATATATTCAATATATAATGAAGTATCTATAGTTTCGCCTTCCCACTTCATATAAACATTTAAAGCTTCTTCTACTTGTTTATAAAACTCCTTTTCCTCTTGATCTAAACTAATTGGTAAACAGATATAGACAGTTTTAACTTTTATCTTTAAAAAATTAATAATTTCATCTTCTTCATTGTTAAAATTACTGTTTATAATCTTAAAAATATTTAAAAGATTGTTTAATATGCTAAACATGGGGTTTTTTATAAAACTTTTTAAATATCAATTTAATTTTCCCTTTTTATTATAAAAATTAAGAAATAAATGAAATTCTAAAGTTATTATTCATAATTAATTTAAATGTTCTTTTGATTTAATCATTTTTAATTTAAAAAACAAATAGTTATTTACAATATAAATTTAATTAATCAATTTATCTTTTGATTGTAGAAAATTAACATTTTTTATAAATTTGATTAAAATAATCATTTTAAATGATTTAATTGAAATAATAATATTTTATTAAATTTTTAAAAATAATTGTTTTAATCAAATTTATTGTTGATTTAAAAAATGCTATCTATTTATTTATAAAATACTTTAAAAAAGATAAAAGAATAACTAATAAATGAATTTATTATTAAATGTTTTAATTTTAATTTATAACTTATATAAAATAGAATTTAAAAAAAATTTTAAGATATGTTTTTAATTGCATATCTTTAAAGCTTAGCTTTTTAAAATAAAATTTTTATAAAAATTTTACATTTGATTATAAAATAATTTAATATGATAATTATATGTTTAAAACAATTTGTTAGATGTGATTTATTTAAGAATTAATAAGTTTTAATATTATAGTCAACCTGTAAATTGTTATAATTAAAAGACATGTGTTTACATTGACCTTTAAAGATTAAATATATGTTTAAACTAATTTAAAGATAATAGAACATGATAAAGAGAAAGGTATTAAACTATTATTCAGATATAAAATTTAATAATAATTCTAAATCTATTTATACTTTTTAATATAAAATAGTTTAAAAAAAAGATATTTAATAAAATTTTATAATTTTTAATTCTAAATCTATTTATTGTAAAGAAAAAAACCGTAAATTTATGAATTTTTTAAACAATCAACAAAAACCTATTAATTTCTTATTTACTATTAATATTTGTTTAAAACATTAATTAAATCATCGAAAATATTTTAAAACCAATTCATGATCTTTTCTATCAGTTAAACAAAACTAATTTATTGTACTAATAAAAAAATGAAGGTTGATTAAAAAACAAAGAAAGTAAAGCATCAAAATTCGTAATTTGAGAATCGTTTTTAAATCCTATTAATGAATATATAAATATGGTTTCTGATATACTTATTATAAAATTAATTTTTTTATTAAAATTTTCAATATCTTTCTTAAAAATAAATTAATTGTAAAAGAATAACCTTTATAATTTAAATCATCTTTTTCCTGAATAAATTATATTTTTTATCTAATTAAAATTTTTTAAGAAATTTTATTTAAATACTGTTATTACAAACTTATTTAAATTTTGTTCAAAAATATTGTTATTTAAACTAAATTTAAGATCTTATTCAAATGTATTTTTATGATATTTTCTAAGTATTTAAATTGTTTTACTTTAAAAATACTATTTTAGTATTATCATTAAGTCTTTATAATTCTTAATTTCTACTTATATTTTTCTATAAAAACTTTAAATTTTTTGATTTGATTAAATATTTCTTCACCAAGTCTTGAATCTGGTGTATTTCTTTTTACAAAATTTCATCAGGTACATATAATATTACAAATTACACTATCTATTACTAAAATAAATTAAAATTTAATAAAAATACTTTTCTATAAAATCTTAAGTAAATTCTTTAGTTTCTATTTTAAGAGTCAATTTTTATAAAAATCACACAAATTCAAATTTTATAAAAAAAATAACAAATAATAAAATATTTTAATAAATATTATTGATAGCTCTTCGTATTTTAAGATTATGAGATTTAGATAACTCAGTAAAAAATATTGAACTCCCTTCAAAATTAATAAATCCAATGAAATCATAAATAAAATTAATATAATCATTTATCTTATCATTATTTAAATTTTCAAACTTCTTTTTCTTATCCTCACAGAATCTAAAAAAATTATTAATTTCTTCTTTTGTAAAACTTACTTTGTTGCTACCAGCAATCATAAATTTTAATTTATTATTATTGGGAGTATAATATTCATTAACTACATATATTAACTTTTTTAAAAACTTATGTAAAATCTCAGTAAAAATTTCATCATTTAAACTCGAACTATTAAGTTTAATATTTTCAGGAATAATCTTTTTATATTCATCATCTGAAACAACATGATTATCAGCTTTCTTTCCTAAAATGTCAATGATGGGTAAAATTTTATCATAAGACATAAAGAACATTTTTATAAAACTTCTTATTCTAAAAATCTTATAAATCTTTTCCAAAAGATCAATAGAAGTATCTAATCTATTAAATAAATTAACATAATAGTAAACTGTTTTTATAACAGAACGATCATCCAATTTTTCCTCCGTTACATCAAATAGATTTTTATATATTGGTATTAATTTATCATACTCCACATTTATTAACTGATATAAATATTTAAAATAAATTCTAACTATATGCTTTTCCTTAGTTTTATTTGAGTGTTTGTTTTTAAAATCTTCAATAAAATCTTTTAATCTATCCTTCCATTCTAAACTTTCAATTTCAGGATAATGTACCCAAGCTTCTATCAACAAAAGAAGGTTCTTTTCATATTTCTTAGATTTCTCATAACAATCTTTAATAACTAATTCATGTAATTTTAAATTTTGCTCAATCTCTGAAGATTTTAAAGAAGAATTATCATCAGTTTGTACTGGTTTTGATTGAGTAGAATCAACATCTGTATTTGTAACCTTTACAATATTAATCAGATAAATTATGATATTATTCATGGGGTATTAAAAATTTTTATTATTTATAAAATCATTTAATCAATTTTAATCATTTAAAAAATATTAAAGATTTCATAAAACAATTTTCTTTTTAAATATTTTTTATAAACAATTGTTTTTTTTGATCATTTAAATCTGATTCATTTATATATTTTATGATTATTTATTTATTGAATTTTTAACATTTAAAAAGAAAATATAAAAATAGAATTTTATAAATAAATTAGTTTTTATTATTTAAAAAAGAATTTAATTATTATTTAATTTTTACTCGGTGTTTATAAAAATTAAATAATATTTAAAAATAACAAATGATTTTAATTTTATATAATATAAAATATTATTCTAATTGATTGAATTATAAAAAAACCAATTTTAAACATTTATTTTATAAAAACTTAATCATTTTGTTGTGATTTTATAAAAACTATCAAAGTATAAAAGATATTATGTTTTTAAAACAAAATATTGATTAATATGATTAAATTATTATTTGATAAATTATATTTTTTATATTAAATTGTCTTTAAACCTGTCATATGTTTAAAAAAATTATATTTTAATTAAAACAAAGAATTTATTGATTAGTTAAGCAAAAAATTTTTAAAAGAAACATATTTAAAATTGTTATAAAATTGAATAATCATTTGATTTTCTAAGATTACAAATCAATAAAAATTTTTTTCTTATAATTTATATAAAATTAAACTATCAAAAATTGATTTAAAAAATTAAAAGTTTGTTTATTTAATTTTTTGCTCTTTCTTCATAGTAAATAATTAAAAGATCATAAGAACTAAGTTTAACAGTTTGATTTTCAATTTCACCATTAATTCTTCTATGAAAAGTTCTTTTATTCTGAAAGTATATTTGTATAATCTTTGGATCAAGACTTAAAATAAGTGATAAATTTTCCTTTAATTCATTATTTGGTCTTTGAATTATTTTAAATACCCTGTCTAATACTCTTTTTTGTAAATCAGTCTTTCTTGTATACTTAGGTCTGTTAGTATTTGCATTTTTCATACTCTTGAGTTTGAGTAATCCTAATAAAGCATCTACACATCTCTCATCAATATTCAATTTAATATTAAGATTTCCATCCTCATGATTACCTATAATCATTATTAAAGGGTAAAAATAAAATCTACTATTTCCTTATTAAAAATAAACAATTGTTTCATTTGTGCGCTATAAAGAATTAAAATTTGATTTATTAATTTAATAAACAACAAGTCTTTTTAATTAATTTCTTTTCATAAAAGAAGAAATTAAAATTGATTTTTTAATATTGACAAACAATAAAGATTCTATTTCTAAAAATTTTAAAAATTTTTAGAAATAGAATTTAATTAAAATTTGTTTATTTATTTTGTTTTAAATTAGTAATTAAAGAATCTTTTGTATATGCTTTGTATGGAATATTTGAATAATTCAGAAATAGAGTTTGTTAAAGAGCCAAATAGATTAGAAAAATCTACCAAGTCTAAAATAATAGTTGAATCCTCACTATTTAACACCTATAACTATCTACATGAGGATAATACTAAAGTACTCTCAGCTAAAAGAACACTAAGTGGATTTAGTATATACGCACACAATGAAGGAGATAGCTCCAATGAAAGTTTTTTAATAGGAAAATTAAGAGCAAATATATTTGGTACAAAATATTCATTGGAGTTAGACAATGAACCACTACATGTAAATTATGATTTAGCATTTCTTAAGAAAGATAAACCAAGATCATTTAATGTTCAATTAGGTCATCTAAATTTGGAAAATAAACAACCAATTTACAATCCAGACACCAACAGCTATTCATTAAATTTCAGTGGAAGAGTAACCATTGCGAGTGTAAAGAACTTTCAAATAATTCATAAACTTGATCCAACTTTCATAACCCTCACATTCGGAAAAGAAAATTCAAACTCCTATATTTTAGATTTTACTCACCCCTGGTCTCCTATAAAAGCATTTTGTGTGGGTTTAACAGCATTAGATCATAAACTTGGATTTGAATAAAAATATTTTAACAAACTAATTTATTAATCTTTCTGCCTTCTTTCAACTTTCTTAATAAGCCTCTGTTCTGTTCCGAATCTTTTAGCAGCTTTCTTTCTATTTTCTTTTCTTGATCTACGTGGCAATTTATCAATTTCTTCATTAAATGTTCTTTTAATTACATACTGCTTTTCAATTTCTCTAAGAGACTCTTCTGAGTTGTAGAGATGAGCCAATGCTTTAGATCTCTGAATACCAAATTCGGTTTTCATTTTAAAAACATAAATCTGATTTTTTGGAATCGAATAATTTACACTTAATTCATCAACAATAACAGCCTTATTAGGTGTAGCTTGGTTAGAATGTGTTATCTCCATGCACAACTCCTTTCTATTCAATACTTGATTTGTAAATGATTTGGTTATTTTCAAATGAACTGACATTTCTTAGGGTTAAAAATTTTATTAAAAATTATTTGAGAGACTTTAATTTTTCATAGATTGATTTTGTTCTTAAAAGAGCTTCTTTACATTCAGAAAAATCTTTCCCTTTTAATTTCAACTTACACATTTCTAATGTATAAAAAGCATACATTTTATCTACTTCTATTTTAATTTGATCTTTTGTTTTAATTCCTACCGCTCTTAAATTTAAATTATCTATTTCATTTTCTAATTTAACTAACAAGCTTTTTATTTCTTTCATTTAAAAACTTTTTATCAAAAATTTAATAAAAAGTTTAATAAAAAAATTTAATAAAAACCGAAAATGTCCCAAAAAGTTGCAGGTTTTTCAGGTTCTGGCGCTATTTTAGTAAAATCAAATATCATTAAATTGTCTAAATTTTCATCTTCATTATAAAATTTAGTAAAATCAACAATATCTAAATATCCTTTATGACCAGAATCATAACTCAATACATCATCTATTTCACTCTCAGTAGGTTCGATTCCCATCTTTTCAAAGATTTTTATTAACACATTCTTATCAAGTCTGTGATTTTTATCTAAATCAAATATTTTAAAAAGATAGTGAATTCTCTTAACTCGAGAAGAATCTTTATGGAATATCGAAAGAAAGTCAAGAAAATATCCGAAATTCATCTTCTCAAAGTCATTCTCACTATCTTCTGTATTTTGAAGCAGTAAATGTCTAAAAGGATTACAGTTAAATTCTGGTATCATTTCAAAGTCTGTAAAACTTAAAAATCCGCATTCTTTCCGATCTAAATATACAAATCTTTCAAAGAGTGCAGATATTTCCTCTTTGCTAAACACCGTATCGTTTACTAAAAACTCTAATTCTTTGTTACTCAATTTTTCTTCATAGAGGTTGACCATTTAAATTTTTTATAAAAAATCAATTTTATTCTAAATAATCAAAATCTTCTTCTAAACCAAAATTTAAGTTAAAATCTTTTCTTTCCATGTTAAACTTCTGACAAACAAAATTTTGTAATGTAAAGATGTTATCAGTGTGTGTGTTAATTTTATTTTTAGAGTCTTCTATTTCTTTTTCCATTTTTTTATATTCTTCTTTAGAATATCTTTTAAGATTCTCCTTTATATCTTCTATTCGTTCAAAGTTTACTTTAAGATCTTCATACTCATTCAATAGTTTATTTCTTTCATCTGTACATTCGTTAGTTATTTCAAGATCACTTACAATTTTTTCTAGTTTTTTGTTTTCTTCTTTAAAATTTGCTATTGAAATATCAAGCTTTTCTATCTCAGTGCAATAATAATGTTCTTTATCATACTTAAATCTCCAATAATAATTAGATTGTCCTACTTTTTCACACTTTATTAAAGACTCATCAACTAATTCTTGAATTATATCTTTTACTGCCATAGATGATATATTACAGTGTTTAGATAACTTTCTTTCTAATTCTTTAATTGTATAAACTTTTGATGTTTCTGTAAAAAATGTTATGATTTTAGTAAACTTTTCATCTTTTGAAACTCTTTTCGTCATTTTGTTAAAAATTTTTATAAATTTTTTAAATCAAACAAATTTTATTCAAACTTTAAATTGTTATTAAATTTAACTAAACCGTTATTAGTAAAATATCCCATTTCAATTCTCTTCTCAAATTTTACTCTCTTTGCAGCTCTTCCAGTCTTCTTTCTATGTTTAATGGCTTTCTTAACTACCGGTGTTTGTGCTCTAACTTTTCCTGCTTTATTTATTGATATTCCTGGCATTTGAGGGTTAAAAAATTTTTGTAAAAATTGTTAAAAAATGGCTTTCGTTTTTGATTTCTATAGAAATGTGGTTGATGATACTAAATCATCTTTTATTAACTCAGCTGTTACTTCAAGCTTTAATTTAATTACTGAATCAGTTGGTAATTTCTTTATGGATTGTCATAAATCAATTAAAGAAACTATTGAAAATGTTCAATATCAAGTCATTTACTCAAGTGTTACTTATCTTCTTAAATTTATTTCTTTTAATTCTTCATTTAGAGATAACGTGGCTTTATTTATCACTTCTGTTATCATTGGATTAAGAAATGGAACATGGTTTGCTCTTAAAAACGGTTTTATGGCTATTTTATTACAAAAAGTTTATAATATTCTAGATCCTATGATTATTCTATCAAAATTAATAAAATAAATTTATTGATTTAAACAAAACCACGTTTCATTTACATCTAATAAATTCATTGAAGAATCATCATTTTCTTCTTCTAAATTTGAAAAATACATTTCATCAAATTTTTTTCTATTTAATGATAATGTTTTTTGATCATCACTATTTAATGATGAATTAAATTTAAACATACTAAAACATGTGTTTAATTGTTCAATTTGATTTTTATAAAATTGAATATTACTCTTTGGAATTGAATTAGGATTAACAATATAATTAATAAGTTTAAAAAGAGTATTAATTTGTACTTCTGGATCATCATAATCCTTTGAAATATCAAACGAATAAAATTCCTCTTTTGGTATTTTAATTTCCTCTTTAAAAAAATTAAAATGTTCATCAATTATCAAATCCTTTTTGTTTTTCAAAAAAGGAAATTTAAATATAAAATGAGTATCAATTAACTCGTTTAAACATTTCATTCTAATTAGAGGTATTACTGATACATTCTTTATTCTTGCTAATTCAATTGCAAATAATGATCCTGTATAGATTCCACAAAATGATTCAATTTTAGCTATTGGTTCTATTACTTCAATTACTTTTAATAAATTTTTAAGTAGAGCTTCCTTTGTTGGCGAATATTCAGTTTTAAAAGGTAATTGAATGTAAGCAACATTAATTTCTTTCAAATGAAAATATTCATTCCAGTTATTTTTCATTTCATTTAATTCTAAAAATTTATCACAAATCATAACTAGCATTTTATTAGAAGAATAATTAACCATTTGAATTTTTAAAGTGACATTTTCTATATCTGCAATTCCAGATAACATTTCCATATGATTAATTTCATTACATACATATGGGGTTGGTTTAAAAACTAACCTGTAAATTAAGTTTATTATTAGATTATTAAAAATTCCCATTTTAAGGGTTAAATATTTTTTATTATTTTATTCAAAAATTTTATTTTATTTAAAAATCATTTTATTCAAAAATTTTAAATAAAAATTTTTTTATTAACAAATGAAAGAAGAAGATAATAAAGTTAAATTAATTATATATGAATTTAATCAATGTGATCCTAAGAAATGTTCTGGACATAGATTGGTTAAATTTAATAAAGTAAAACCAATCTCTATTAAATCTAGATTTAACGGTATAATGTTATCCCCAGAAGCTGATAAGTTTATTTCAAAAGAAGATTTAAATTTAATTAAAAAATTTGGATTAGGAACAATTGATTGTAGTTGGAATAAGATAGATGAATTTAATTTTAAAAGTCTTAAATCAATTAAAAGTAGAGAAAGACACTTGCCATTTTTATACGCTGGTAACACTATTAATTACGGAAAACCATATAAATTAAATTGTTTAGAAGCTTATGCTAGTGCCTTGTATATACTCGGATTTAAAGAACAATCAATTGATTTATTTGAAGGATTTTCATACGTTAAAGGATTTTTTAATTTTAATAAAGAATTATTAGAGAAATATTCAAATTGTGAAACAAATGAGGAAATTAAAAAAACACAGGAAGAAATTTTAAAAAATAAATAAATATTTAATGATTTTATTAAAAAATATCAATATTAATATAAAAAAGTATAAAAATGTCAATTAAAGAAACTAAATAAATTGCAATTGTTCTATCAAATAAAAAATTAATACCAACTAAAGTATTCATATTATTATAAAAAGATATTAATCCACAAAGCAATAAGAATGATAGGTAATTAATAAACTCAATTAAATCAATTTTCACTTCTTTGAGTAAAACTACTCTTGGAAAGATAATGTAGCTTAAAAAGGAAATTAAAGCAGAAAATATTTCATAATCACCACTCAACATAAAAAACTTTTTTATCTCAAAACAAACAGAATTATACTCTAAATTAATAAGTGAATAAACTATTTGGCTAATAAAAAAGATAATAGTGGTGTTAATTTTACTAACTCTATTAAACTTTTTAATAATATTCCTAATTAGTAAAATACCAATTAAAAAACGATAATCAATATGAATACACAATAAAACCATTATAAAATAATCAATTGATATAAATGATAAAAATAAAATAGCATCATCAGATAAACAATAATATATAATATATTGAATGTCTTTTATAATACTCTCATAATCTACAAATCTAATATTATTAGAATCAAATAAAGAATCAACAATGTATAACACAAATATAAATGCCTTTATATATAAATGAGATTCTGAACTAATTCTTTCAATTTCAAAATGTTTAAATTTTTCTATAAAAGTATAATAAAAAAGAAACAAATAAAAATTATTTTCATAGTAAGTAAGAGCAAGTAAATAAACAATATCTCTGAATGCAAATGAAAAATATGAAAATGATTCAATTATAATTCCTACATGAACAATATTAATTTCCTTAAATGTAACAACAAATATAATCAATAATAACAACATAGCTATAAAATACAAATACAAATTAATATCATTTGATTGAATCAAACTAAAATCTAATTCTTGTTCAAATACAGTTTTAGTATTTTCACTGTTCACAGGAATTGATAATCCAAATAAGTAACATATTGTGTTTAAAATATTATTTTGTCTAACAAATATTAATTCCTTCTGTTTTGTGTTCATCCATTTAAATTCATCATCACTTTCAATATTAAATTTGTTCTGTTTATTTTTTAAAAATTCATTGAAAACATTCACTTCTTTTTCTTTACTGTAAATAAAACTTAAAGTTGATGATATTTCTTTTTTTGATGAACATCCATGTTCACCTTGATCAGTTACTCCATGATCTGATGTAATTATTAGTAATGTATCATTATCTATGTTATCTACTATTTGGTTTATGTATCTATTGTACACTTTCATCACATCTTCTATTAATTGATTATTTATTCCATATACATGACCTAATGCATCTAAATTTATCAGATGTATAAATGATGCATCATAATTTCTAAATTTAGAAATAAATCTATTAAAACATTTTTCTTCTAAATTAAATAACTGGTGTTTAGAATATGAGGGTATTAAATCTAAAAAGTCAACTTTTGTTTCCAAGTTTTTTAAATAATCATACCACATGTCATCACCTGATATACTAACTTTGTAGTTATTTAATATAAATTGATTGATCATATTGTCTATTTCTATGCTATTATGATAAAAGAAAAGAAGTTTTGATATTAAAGTTTTTCTAGCACCAGTAATTAAAGTAAATGTTCTTGATGATGTTATAGTTGGTAAATCTGTTATTGATAAACAGTTTATAATATTAACTTTATCATTCTTTATCTTAAAGTTATTGTAATAATACCCCTTGTTATTTGTTTCTTCCCATCCATCATATCTTAAACCATCTATTATAACATATATAAGCTTCTTAAAGTGCTTTTCTTTAAATGGTTCATTATTTATTTCATAGGAATATTTATGTGAAGATAACAAAGAGATTATGAAGATTACAAATGATAATAACAATCCAAATAGTGTTATTAAATGTATTTTCTTAAAGAATTTAGTTCTTAATGTTAATATTTTCTTTGTTCTCATCATTCTATTAAAATTAATCATATTTAAATAAGATTTTTTTATTTTTCAAATAATTAAATTAAATTGAAAAACTGATTGATATTTAAATAATTAATAATATTTTAATATGTTAAAATGTAAATTTTATAATAAAAAGTATTAAAGTTATTGTAAAAGCTATTTTAATTTATTAATTAGTAATTTAATGAATAATTAGAAATATTGTTATTGTGTCATAAAAACAATATCAATTTTTATTTAAAAATAATTTTAAAGAAATCAGAGTTTTATAAAAGAGTTTAATTATAGAAATAATAATGATTATAAAAGAAATAGTAATTTTATATTATAAAAGTAATAGTATCATTTTGAATAAAATGTATTATTAAGAATAAATTACAGATTATACTTTGTTATAAAAATCACTTATATATTTGTGTGTTTATTTTTAAACAGATTTAATAATTTAAACATTTCATTTCAAAAGTTTTAAAATAAAAAAATGGAAAAGATAACAACTCATTTTTTATAATTTTTATTTTCCAAAAATATTTATAAAAACCTAATTAAGATTTTTAAAACATTTATTAACTAATTAATTATCCACGTAGTTGTTTTCATCAATATTATTTAAAAATACATTCAATTTTTCTTTAATCTCTTTTATCATTTTTAAAACTCTCTTATTTTTATAACATTTTATTTTACATTCAATCTCAGTAATTAATTTCTTAATCAATATTTTTTCAGCTTCTAAATCATTGTTTTCTCGTTTATTCATAAATAAATTCTCCTTAAATAATTCTAAAATTTCATAAGTTTCACAGTAAAATGTTAAAGATTCTTCCTCATTTTCCTTAAATTTTTTTAAATCAATATTAAACTTATTTAATATCTCATCGAAATTCTTTTCATAAATAAACAGTTGTTTTTTATTTACTTTAACAACAATTTTATAAATGTTTTTTAGCTTTTTATCATAATAATAAACCATGAATATTAATTTCTTAAGCATGACAGATTCACTTTCAGATATTGTTGAAGAAGAATTAAAATCATACAGACAACATTCAGATGGAAAGCAATCTTTGATTTCTTTTTCAAATCGTTTGTATTTTTCATATTTATTATTAAATTTTTTAAACTTTAATTGACTAATTACTTCTACATACAAGTCATAAATTTCCATTCTTATTTTTATAAAACTTTCTATCTTCTTATCTTCTGTTAAAGTTTGAAAATTTTCACATTTATAAGTCGAAAAAATTTTCTTAGCTAAATCAAAAGAGTAAAAGTCAATAAAACTAAAAAAAACATCATCTTCTTCTTCCAATAATACACTAATATTTAATTCATTATCATCATATACTACTTTAAATATTTGGTTAAAAAAATCAACCATTTCTTTTTTATAATCTTCATCGTTCAACTTAATCTTATTTAGCTTATCGATACAATTGTTTAAATTTCCTTTTTTATCAACTTTTATATCTTTAAATAATTCTTTTAAAAAATTAACTTGAATGTTTCTAAACACAATGTTCATTTCTTTTATTAAAATATATACCTCTTCAATGTTTATAACATTTACACATCTTACACTAACAACCATAAAAATATTCTTGGTTAACATACTACTTAAAATAATTATTAACATGCTTCTCATATTTTAATTATCAAAAAAATATAATTTAAATATTTTTAAGAAATATTTGTGTTCTATTTTTTGATAATTAAAATATTTGTTTGTAATATTAAATTTTATTTGTTAGAATGTAAAAAAATCTTATTCTTTTTGTCGTATCCTTCAAAATGAGTAAATTGTTTATTTAAGTAACAAAGAATATTTGAATAGATTTTGATTGATTTGACAGGTGATATATTTAAAGAAAATATTTTATTTAACCCATAGAAATTAAATACAGGATGAGTGAAGAGTATTTAAGTAAGAGAGAGACAGATGATATTAGAGATGAGTCAGATATAGAGAGTAGCCCTTACGCAGGGAGTAAGGAAGACACTTATGGATCAATGGAAAGACTTAATAAACTTTGTTC